TATATATATATATATATATATATATACTCCTGTAGTTTAACATGCAAGTGTTCGCTAGACACCCGGGCACCCACGTGCAATTACCTCGTAGTTTGTGCGTGTGAAATCCAGGTACTGCACCGTTGTTCATACGTGATGTGGGCAAAATCATTAATAAGCAATGCGCAGTGGAATATAGAAGTCGGCGAGCCATGGCATTTCACATCATGGTGCTCTGCAATACGTCGCACTACTCCACCATGCACAATGCCATCATGTACTGTACTGCATGCATTCGACTACGCTACACTACAATATTCAACTCATGCCATACCAAACACGTAGTGTTTCCAAGGGCGCACGGCAACTAGAGGTAGACTCACACAGACGGTGAAGGAGAGATGGCTGAAGGCGTCGGAGTCGTGGTGTTCATACGCTTTATATTTCCCCCCCGCTTTCTGCACCGGTACAAATTCCAGTACAAACTGACCCCCGGCATGCCGCAACCAACTTTTGGGCTTTGCTGCACACCATACGAAACAACTGGCGGGTCAATATAAGAGCCTATGACAGGCAGGCATTCACCGCACATTCCGCAACACCAGAAGGTTATGGTTACTGCATACACCCATACAGGCGTATAAATAAGCTGATCCAGAATGCACCCCCATATTCTTGTGGGCGCCGTGTAAATACTGATGCATTTGTATAAATGTGCATTCGCAAACGCACTCCTACATACGTGGATACACAGGCACGAACGTGCTCACACGCATTCACCGAGGCATTCATGTGCGTGCAGTTTGAAAGTACTGTTCGCTGTTGTGGGATTAGTGGTGGCGTCTGTGGCCTCTGCTACGGCGCCTTCGACCTCGGTGGGGGAAAAGAACTCAAAGGCGGCGAATCGGTTGGGGGAGGAGGGTAGGGCGGATGTCAGGCTATTAATGCGTGCTGAACGCCAGCTGCCAAAGCTGCTGCGTCTGCTGGTGGCTCCGTTGGGGTTTAGGGCCTCCCGTCCGAGCAAAGAGAACTTCCCGCTACTGTTTACCCCCACTTCCTCCCCCTCCCCAGTCGCCCCGAGGTCCGTGCGGCTGCTGGAGGGGCTGCTACGGCGCTGCTGTGAACGCACAGAGAGCTGCTGCAACAGTTGGTGCAGTTGTTGCCTCGGCGGAAGAGCAAGGCAGAACTCCAAACCGCCAACGCTCCCTATTTTCGTCCCCACTGCTGAACTAAGCACAAGCTCCTGCATACCCAGTCGCTTCACGTAAAACTCGTCCACCAGCTGCTGCGGACGCGAGCAACGGAACCGGATACCTCCCAGTCGCAGCAACGAACTCCTGCTGTTCGTATGCACCTTTTCTAAACAACCCAGAGAGCCTGCTGAGACAGAAACAACGCACACTATATAACAACCACCTGTCCACAGCAGCTGCAAGCAAATATGCGTGTAAACCAATCAGGACAAGCGGATATTAATGCGTACAACTATACACGTATATATATATATATATGCGTACGCAGCAGACACTCGGACGCGTGTGCATACACGTGCAGGCCAATCCACGTACAGCTAGGGGAACGCATAGGATCTACCCCTTCCACAGAAACGAGGTGGAGGGATTACAATAATGGGGAGGTGGAGAGGGAAACAGAGACGTTGGAAAACACCGCATGCACCCAGACTATAACCAGAGCTTCTGAATACAACTGCTTGCCTACTTAAAACCTACGATTTCTGTGTGGTCCTGCTGTGCTCTGCAGTCAAGGGCATCAGCAGGCCTGGGTATTTTGCTTTATTCGGCAAACCCAACCACTTTCGCTGAACCTGTAGCAATACTGCCCCAACAATATGCCCAGTCCAGCAGCCGTAATAAAAAAATTCAAGAGGATAGGGGTTCAAATGAGCAAATAAAACATGGATAACGTTTACCTGCTCTGGGACTCGGTGAAACGACATCTCCTTCCGGCAGAATAATGGTGGGGAGTTTCTCCATCCTAGTTCCTCGCCGCTGTTCTATGTTGTTCCAATTAATTAGGTGTCTTCCAGCTGTCCTAATAAGCTGCAATCGTTCTCCAATTGTTGGTGTCCTCTATTTCAGTTGCACTGAGTTGTGCTGCTCTCGCATTCTTTGTGCCACTTGGCTTTACGCCGTATTCATTGTTCAACTTTGTAGGTGTTGTTACAGGACTAATTTTTTTGGCGACCTGGCGAGTGGCGGACCAACAGGAGGAAAGCTCCGTCGTGTACCCCACAATCGGGGCTCCAAACCCTGCACCCTCTGCACTAAACCCTGGACCGTCGCTCAAGTATTGCCTGAGCGCACGCAAAAAAGTGGATGCGAAAAGAAGAGGACTGCAGGTAGTGACAAACAATGGACGGAAGAGACGAGCAACAGGACTGAAGTCACCGAAACACAAGGAAGCCCAGCGGTACCGCCACAGAAACACAGCAAACGTACAGGTTCCCTACCCAGAAGCAGCGTTTCGGCATTTGAGTTGGTTTTGAGGGAGAAGGACACGGAGGTGGATATAGCGAAGATATGTCGATAGAGAGGAACTAAGGAGAAAAAATATTGCGTGCGGTTGTTACGAGAGATAGTACCCGCAGAACGCTGGGAAGGCGTCCTGGTTAAGTGAGAGGAACACAGAAATGCACAAAGGCAGAAGGTGTCAAAAGAAGGCGCTGTACAAGCTGAGTGCAAAACACGAGCAATGAACTGCAGCCCTTGACTGGCACGCACACACCAGGGAGATGAGCAGTGGGAGGAAGCGAACCTCGAAGAGTGAGAGAAGATGCAATTTAATCCATGTGTGCTATTCAGTCAAAGGCTGATCTTACGAAAACTGTAGACGTAGAGGAGAAAAAGAACGACGCCCCAAAACGAATCGAAGGCGTCTTCCACAGCATGAAACCTGTGCCACGAGTCCGTATGGCGCTTTTAATCGTAAGTCCCCATCTTCTTATTATAAAACAGAAAACAAAGGACTGACAAGAGCAACGCAAAGCGATGAAGGGTAACGGAGGCGCGGGAAAGATTGCTGAAGGGCGGTCGGCGAGGCAAGAACCCCGCTGTAAAGAACGGGACGTGCGTCCCTTCACTGTTCCAGTATCCTGTTTGCTGTCGCTAATGAGGAAGGAAGTTTTTTCTCCTTCATTAAAACAGATATATAATTAAATACGGAACCTAAAACAATGCACAGGCTTGTTACAAACATGCCGGTGAGCGGCCAACCACCACGGCTGGTGGTGTGCCGCTCGTGCTGTTCCGTGCAGCAGTAGTTAACGCCTAAACACGAAATAAAAAGCAGATCAAAGATTAATAATGCGATGCTGCCACAAATTCACATATCAAACATGCGTAGAAAAGTTCACGTGAATGACAGGCGGGTCTGCACATGCACCTAGAACCCTTAACGGTCGTCGTTGGGGGGTCCGTTGGAAGCTTCAGCAAGCACACCTGGCATAATGCTGTGATCATTCGATCCTTCACTTCAATTCCCAATAAAATGCTTTTCAAACGAGAAGGTGTGTAATGAAAACAATAGTGGCGCCCATCACCGGCTTATTTTCAAGATGCGCCGTACATTCCCTTGTCATCTCGCCTGCCACAAGCGAGTGCAGCTTTTATGCTACGAATAGTTTCTTATTTTGGGAACCTGGAAGGGCCATCGATATATAGCAACGAACTGAATGTGCATTACAACACTACCTTAGTCTGAACGTGTGTTAGACCACTAATTTGGGAGGCAGTATGCTGCTGCCTATGCAGCTGCCCCACGCTACTGACGTGGCCCACTGTGTAGCGAGACTCTACGGTCTTATCCGATGTCCGTCGTGAACTGCCATCGAGCCAAAAGAAATATGTTAGGTTTCCTAAACAGAAGCTGATCTCCTCGCCAGTCCCCAGACTTCCTGGGCACAGGGGCCCGAAGGCCTGCGGTTGTGGGAGAGGAGTCCATGAGATGAGCTGCAACGCACCTCGCTCCAACGAATGCTGCGAGGTACCTTCGCGTGCAATCACAACCAAACCACCTTTCGCTGCGTTCGCCAACACTGTGAATAGTTGGTGTTCTACTGCTTGCGTGTAGGCCGCTTAAGCCGAGGTTTACGTACCAACGCCGGCCAGACCGTGCTACATCAGCGCGCATCCTTGCAGCTGCGTGCCCCTGCGTTTCTCGCAAACAGCGAAAAGACAACATTTTTTTCGAATCAGATTCACCCGTTCATAATCATCATCATTCTAGGACACCTAACATTTTTTCGAATCAGATTTTCACCCGTTTATAATCATACGCATTTTCGTAGGTTACGACACTTACGCTTTTCCTTGGAGTGTTCGCATGGCGTTAATGAGACTTGCATTGCCTTCGCTGCATCCAGCGAGTCATCAAACACCAGCGTCAATTGACTAGCCCTATATGATATCTCGGTTTTTCTTCTGCAAGTAGCGAACCAAGAGAAGCTTACGATAAATGCTGCTGGCGAAAAACCACATTACTATCCGCTCGCCCCGGCGTCAACAAGTTCCTCACTGTTGAATTGCACTGCCGCAGCATCATCCACGAATAAGCTGACACACCTGCCCCTCCTAGGGATCTACTTAAGAGGGGCATATAGTTCTTTTGGATCAAAATTGAAGAAACAGCCGCCCGAAGCCTTATCAGACGCCCGACTTCGTCCGGAGGACTCGTGCTGCCTGATTTCGACGAACTCTTCTCCCTAACAGCTAATGCCAGTAATATAGCAGTTGGGATGATGTTTCCTCAGTAAGCCAACGACCAGAAAAAGCACCAAATATTCGCTTCTGCTCATACTCATCAACGCGGGTATCACCAACTTGCTCACTACCGCACACTCTCGACCCCGTACTAGCCACGCACTGCGTTTCCTGCAACTGCCCTTGTGTGTGTGGTAGTCTTCTTTCCCCTTCTGTAACTGCTATCTTCTTTCTCCTTAGAGATTGGCACGGCTGTGGTTCGTGCAATGTTTAACAGCGGGCGACGGGTTGTGCTACCAGACGAAGCGTGGCCTCCGCCGACAGTACGTTCCACCTTCCCTCCACACAGAATTTTCGCCAAAAATGAACGATCATGCTTTAACGGGCCATGCATTACTCAACACACATTGGAGCACGTGGCTAGTTCATTTTGATGGGCTAGGATGCGTCCCTAAGCGGAAGAATCCATTCTCACTTGTTAGGAATGCCAGCACCTACAGCGGTGGACCCCCCTTGCGCCAGAAGTCCTGCAGAGTCTTCCGGTCCCCGAACAAATCTAGACGGAAATATCAAGGGATTTTGTAGTGTGGGTACCATTAGTCTGAGTACCCAGGCTATCGAGGATGAACTCGGCAACAACTTCCGTTCATCTTTAGCAATGATTCGATCAGAGCAGACGGTGTGTTGGCACTCCATTGCCCCGCTGGGGACGTTCAGAGTCACTGCTGCTGCTGCTGCTGCTGCTGTGGCCCAATCATTTGATAAATCATCTCTGGAAGTTCCATTTTTTTCCAAAATGCAATATTACTGAGATGAACCGGAAATTCGTTGACGACTTTCGGCCAGAATTTATGAAGAGTCTTAATTTCAGCCAGAGCATGACTACCGCGAAACATCCGGAGGCAAACTGTCAAACTGTAGGCACCAACCGCATGCTGGTGCAGTAGTTGCAACTACTACTAGTCGCAATTCATCAGAATGCCTTGATTTCCACCCTTGTGCGGGATGTAACTGTATTACAACAGTGCGGTTGGCGACCCGCTGCTCTGGCATGCTTGCCCTTCCACCACACACTGCTGTCTAACACGACGCTAGACCTGCCTGTTGGAAGACACTGTCGGACAGTTGCAGATTCTCACTTCCTTACACACTTTGCAGCATCTCGAGAATGCATGAGAAGTGCATAGGAGCGCCAGGAGAGGACCTACAGCAGACGAAGTTGAGCAGTCGCTTTCAACCAAGTGGAATTGGTTTTCATGAATTGGTACGCTCTCCACCGAGCACAGGGAGGCAGTCGGATGGAGAAACTCTCCATGTTCTGCAGGGCCCTTTCTGTTCATTCTCGGGTTGGCCCGTTGGCATGCATCGTCGGCGTATCCCCAACATACTCCTAGTGTGGGCTTTCCAAAACGGTTCAGGGAATGGCCGAAATATCCCTGAGCGCTCCCCACAAATTGCCGCAACGTTATTGCGAGAGGATAAAAATTGGAGGAGACAAAAATTCTAGTCATTCTGGTCACGACCCGCAACAGCCACGGAGTATTAGTATTGCAAAATTGGCCAGGAAAACCAACAACGAACAAGAAGTTGGGCCATATACAGCAATGGCCAACTGCTTTGTCGCACGCGTGTAAAGGCTTATATAGCTGTATCTAGGTTGTCTCCGGCGTCAACTCTTCTTCGATGTGAAATACTCTTTCGTCTCTACCTACTGCTGTTTCAGTGTTGGCCCTGAGAGCATTTATTTTTTCCATGTTTTGCTGCTGGACATCACCCGCTGGGGCTGTCCACGAAGCCTATGTCCCCCTACCACTCGAGCTGCTCGGGAAGCCTGTCGGTTGGTTTCTTGCTTCTACGTATTCGGTCAAGAGGCAGCGCCACTAGAACGCGATGAAGGAGTAGCTTTAGGTATAGATGCTGCGACGCGACATCAGCAGGAGCAAAAGGAACGAGCAGCACCAGCAGCGGAAGCAGCCGCTGGTGCAGTAGCAGCAGCTGTAGCCGCACCATAGTTGTTACCTGCCTGCAGTTCTTCTAAAGACCGGCCTTGGAAGTGTCAGACCGAGCCAGTGGAGGCAAGGAGCTGGCCAGCTGGCAGCGCATCGCCTCGTGAAGGAGGACAGCGTATTAAAGGTGTGAACTTCTTTTGCTGATTTTTTACTAATTTAGTCATTAAAAGTGACCATAGAAGTATTATATGTACTTGACGTTATAACTAACTAAATTAAAAGGCTATTATTAATATTTCTATTATTTAATTTTAATCTAGCAAGTTA